CAAAATTTAACGACTTATTCTCCAATGTATCTCTTGATCATAGAAGTTGTTGGACGATAATAATTTTTAACATACCCTTTTAGAATCTTCATATAATGCTCAACTAGATACATCCATCTTAGATAAACTGGATAACACAATCTTATTTCTCTAACCAAATGTACAAGCAAATGCACCGTGATATCAAAAAAGGATGGAGGAAAAAACATCTCCAACTGACATACAATTATAACAATCTCCTCTTCCAAAACATCCATTTTTTGTCAATTACTTTACTACAAATTGAATTGAAGAATGCACACAATCAAGTTATAGTTTGTCTCACATTTTTTTTGGCAAGGTTTCGCGAATAGCTACAGGCAATAATTGTTGCATCAAAATATGACAATCATGAGACTTAAGACCAACTAGTTCCAAATCTTGCATAGATACAAGACTCTTAATATTTGAATAGAATCCTTGTGGGACTTTCACACTCTCCAAACATTGAGAAAAGCTTGTTTTCTTTTTTTTGGACAAAGTATAACAAGCTGGTGGCAAATATGTGCATCTTCCTACCTCTGTTGGTGTTAACTCCTCTCGTATCTTCACTTCAATCAAATCTAAATGAGCATTGAAACCATCCTTTGTCTTCCCCTTGATGTTTAAAAGAGTTCTAATTAAGCTATCACATATGTTTTTCTTCACGTGCATTACATCAATACGAGTCTCTACCATTAAGCTTACCGTGGTAGACTAAAAAGATAGACCTTTTCTTCCAAATGTCGATTACAACTGATTTTCTTTTTCTTTTTCCCAAACACACTATTAATATCCTTCACTTCATAAGTCTAAACACCAGTTAATGGAATTGGTGCTTCGTCATTCTCTTGATGTCCGTTAAAAGTTTTTCCCAATCTACAATAATGGTGAAACTTTTAGAAATCTCCGATGCCGAAGATAAACTATCTTTCTACCATGTTTCAATTTCTCATAACTAGTATTTCCTTCATAAATAGGACAAACTTTATGACCCTTTACACTATAAACTGACAAGTTTTCATATGTAGGAAAATCATTAATAGTGCAAAATAACATGACATGCATCTTGAAAGACTCACAAGCAAATCTATCAAACACTTCAACCCCTTCATCCCACAACAATTTCAAGTCTTCAATCAATGAACTAAGATATACATCTATGTGATTTCCTAGTTGTCTTGGACCTGAGCTCATCATATACAACATCATGTATTTACACTTCACATACAAGCTTGGAGGTAAGTTGTAAATAAATAGTAAAATAGGACAAGAACTATGATTAGTACTTAGATTACTAAACATATTTATTCCATTAGTAGCCAATCCAAGTCTAAGATTTCTTGACTCAACACCAAATTTAGGAAACACATTATCAAAATATTTCCATTGCACATAAGCGGTTGGATGACGAATCAATCCATCATATGTCCGCCCATCTACATGGCATCTAAGGGTTTTAGTGTCTTTAGGATTCGCAAACAAATGCTTAAACTTTAGAATTATTGGAAGATACCAAATGGACTTGGCAGGGGGACCCTCAATAGTAATGTCCTCACTCATATCTTGATTATTATCCTTCACTTTATAATGAGATAACCAAAAAATTGGACATCTTTTTAGCTCTTAAAACTCATTTCTATATAAAATACAATCATTGGAACATGCATGTATCTTTTTATACTCCATATCCACGAGACAAAGTATATTTTTAGCCTCATAATTACGATTAGGTAGTGTATTCCCTTCTAGAAGCATATCCTTGCAATTTAGTGAAACTTTTATCAATCCACTCGTTCATTGCCTTTAAATTTACCAATCTTAAAACTACTGGCAACTCGTGTGAAGTTACTTGAATTAGGATAAAGTGGACTTTTTGCATTGCTACACATATCTTCATACACATGCGCTTAAGTAAAAGATTCTAGTAAAATATCATGAATCATGTCCTCTAGCCAATCATCCATGGTTGAATTAACTAAATTGTGATCAAATTCATTTACACATGACAAATCTAAGAGCTTGCCATGTCCAAATTGTGTAATTTTTAAGAAAAAGTGACATAAAATATGCTCCCTAATTTTCTTAATATTAATAATCTTTCATTAAGATAACTAACACATAAACACCTAAATCTTCCACAAGTAGAATTAGTCGAAGTGTTCTATTGTGAAAATAATAATAATAAATTCACTTCTTTCTCATACTCATCAATTATGCGGGCACAATTAATCCAACTTTTATCCATTTCTAGATTTTGTAATGCATGCACAACTACACAATTCAATTAACAATATAAAATTTCAGGGATCAGACATCCCCGGACTCAACACAAATTCATTAAAAAAATTTCATATCATTATCAATCATCACAATACTAACCCTAAATCAATCTATATTAATCAAGACAGATCAATTACATACTAGAGATGAAGAATGAACTCTCACAAATCGTCACCAAACAAGCTCACGAACCACAACGAAAGGAGCATGGCAAGAGTGAGAGATGCAGGACACAATGCAAGGAGATGCAAGGCTCGGTGTAGGAAGGATTGGCAACGGGGAGAAGGAGATGCAGGGAAGTGAAGGAGTCAACGAGAGGGAGATGTAGGAAGGAGGAAGAGACGCGAGGTGGAAGGAAGAAGCAACAAAAGTGAGGGACGAGAATGAGCGGGAATAAGTATTTAGAAGATATGACAACAGTTTAACTAATAATCATCGTTGTATATGACGTACAACGACGATTATTAAAAATTTGTTGTTGAAGAGGTGGTGTCACCAACATTCAAGGTTGGTTATTTAATAACTATCGTCAAACTCATACATTCAACGATGATTAAATTAAAACCATCATGGAAAAGGTAGTATTGTCCATATTCAACAATAAATTTTTTAATAACCGTTATTGTATGTCATATATGATTATGGTTATTAAATAATAATCATCATGTAATTTCTCTTATTTTAAAAAAGTCATCGCGACACCTTTAATAATAACTCCATAATGCCTATCATTAAAAGGTGTCTTCATTTTTTATATTTGCACTAATAGGAATTCCTAATCAAATTAATTTATAATATATATATATATATATATATTAATAAAATAATATTATATTTATTTTTATTTAAAATAAATATTATTCTATAAATTGAGTCAACTCATAAAATATACGAAATTTGATTTAAGTTTATGTAAATCATGATCCAAATAATTCAAACCAAAGTAAACCTGATTTAATTTAGGATACAGAGTGACGTAGATGTTTACACAACATTTTTTTCTAAAACTAAACGAGGAAAAAGAGGGCTTTCTTCCCGTGTTTGCATTTACTTTTTGCAGTTGAAACTAAACTATACGTAATTCATTTCTTTTTCACTTACAATAACTTTTGTACTAGAAAATTTTTTAACTTTTAATAATTTAAAGTAAAATTTATTTATTTTTGTAGGTTTAACTTATTTCAAAAATTTAGTTCTTTGGAAAAATAATACTTCCTACAAATATTTATTTAGTTATATCCCTGCAAAATTATTCCCATAAAAATAAAAGAAACCAAATAAAAATAACTTAGATTATTTAATATGATAAATAAATAAATTATATCATATTACTCTTTAATTTTTTTCAAAATTATAAATATTTAAAATAAAAGTATTACCAGAATCATTTTTAAATTTCATTTTAATACTCCTTTTAATATTGGTTAAAATTTATTAAAAATCACGATTTTAGTGTTTAGAAACAAAAATAAGTGACTGATTAAATAAGTTTAATAACTTGGAAAAATATTAATTCAAAGGGTTAATAATTTTGAGATATCATATAATTTATGATGATAATTCTGTGAACTAAACATACTTATTAATGTTTTTAAATTTGTAAATAAAACTTCATGAGTAGTGACGTTGATGACGAAAATTTAGTAATTTGATTGTTTTTTCTTTATAATAACATATTTATTAAAATTGGCAAAACTGCTAGTAGACATAATAAACCATGTCGACACTTTGATGACATGGCACGGAAGAAAACAACCCAGGGTTATAATGTTAGGGCCATCACTTCCTTCAATTGGCATAGATGTCTTCATCATGTCTTCATTCTCATTCTTTTTTCTCCACTCCAAAATGCCTGACATTATTTTTCAACACAGTTACCATTTTGCCCATTATCATTTTAAATGTTACTTTTAATTAATTGTAAATTTATTTTGCTAATTTTTCCTTTTTCTTTAATACTTCTAAATTAGTTTTTTTTTCTGTTATTTTCCTAAATTTAAATAATCAGAAATATAATTGTATGTCATTGTTTGCAGATAAAACATACTAACGAATATGGGTATCTATCATGTTTTTATTTTAAATATTTTTAAATAACTTGATCGACAACATTGTGACAAGTTTACAACCACTAGTTAATAACATGATATCGATTAGTTATATATTATACCACTTAATAATTATATATATCTTATTCAACAATATAATCTAGAGAGATCATAAGGGTTTTTTATTCACATTTTTCAGTAAAAAATCTTAAAATTAATTATAGATTTATTTCTATATAAACTTAATAATAAGATATACAGCTACATTAAATATGAACCGATATGCACTACATCTAAGTTCATAATTTTTTTTATAATCATATCACATACAGAGTATTTATTTCAGTCCACCATAATTGTACTTTTTACCTTTTTAAAAAAAAAAAACTACTTCTATAAATTAACTTGTATTCTCAATTTCAATAAAACATTAATTATTTTATTTTTCAACTTGTCTTGACATTAATATTAGTCTTCAATAAAATTTCAACTATTATGAAACTGAACTCACAATTTTTTATGGATACCAATCATGAAAAAACTGAAACAAGGGTACCTTAGTAAAAGCAACATGCTTCTAGGAGTGTAAATAAATGAATCAAACAGAGGTTTTTGTGAAAGACTAGAAAACCAAGAATCAGAAAAGTGCAAATGGCTAGATTCATTGCGTTCATATCTATGTTGAGCATTGTGCTTCTAAGGAAGTGTATTCACATCTACAATGAATATGGACATCTATTGTTAGACATGGCTTTAGTTTTTGTATCGTCGGCGATATTTTCGGGCATGCGCTTCCGGCCAACAGAAGTTGTTTCCGGCAGAATTTCTCCCATGACATCAATGATGGGTAGGCCTGATCGCTAGTTCTATATATGAGTTAGTAGCATATGTAGATCTAATGCATTTTATTCTTACCCTGTATTTTTTCAAGGAGAAAAGTAAACATTCATGGTGAATTTTGTTCCACTAATAAATTTGATTCAAAGTTTTCTTTTACTTTAATCTTCTTGTTCTCTTCTTCATTGTTCTATTTCTCTTTTCCCATAATTGCATGGTGCAACGCTACTTAATCATTCAGTTTGTGCAAAACTTGCTTAATGCCATTTAACGATGCTTCTTTATACAGAGATTTGATTGTTTTCTATACATAAACTTAGTTCATGTGTATGGGTTAGGGTCTGTATTAATAATATCTTATGCATGACCAAATAAGTAACAAAATCTCTCTAAATGTATAATTAAGAGGTAGATTTTGCAGCTTCAGTTATGGATGTCATGGCTGAAATGTTTTAGGGAGTATAAAAACAATCTTCCCCAAGAGTTCCTGGAAGATGACATGTCTGAAACTTCAAATCAAAACAAGAAGAAAATCTTTGTTGTAAAATTGAATTTATGTTTCTTTAAGCATGATTTTGTATATGAAATATTGAAATCTCACATACATTATGTATATGTTCAAATTCTTAATATTATATAGATGGTTTTGTAATATACAAACTTTAAGTTTAGTATTAGCCTACATTATAAGTTAATTTCTATTATAAATATAAGATATAATTTAGTTCAAGATTATTTAAAATATTGTATTCAATTTTATTGTTTATATAATAGAATAACTCAATTGTATCATGATTGTTTCTAGATATACATACAATCCAGGAGAAATCTGGTAAATCAATGGGATAATTTGTCTCTGATTGCAGTTAGCTTCGGTGATTGAGCGGACAGATATATTTAGATAGGGCTATGTTTCTTACAAGTGTCAAATATTCAAAATGAAAATAAAAAATAAAAAAATTAAGACAACTTCCAAAGTAAACATGAACATAGGAAAATGTTGTGTGTAGATTTCAAATTTGGGGTGGATGAGTGTAGGAAAGAGAGAGTGAATGATATAATAAGTGGTGTAACAAGAAGAAAGAAAGATGCAAGAGAAAGAATGGGAAAAATAAAAATAAAGAGTGAGTATATACTATAATTAGTCTTTAATATGCTAAACAAGGTTGAATATATATGAAGCTAATTATGGTAAAGTATAAGGTTTGAAAAGTGAATATATCATCTACATGTTCAGAAAAGTTATATAGAAAAAAGTCGTATGCAGTTACATTCGAATTAAGGCATTTTTATCCCATTGAACAGATTGAAACACAAACTAATTATTATATACTTATAATGACTTGAGTAACGAACCCTTCATCACCAAGTTTTACTGAGTTAAACTTAAATCATTCTCAGTTCTAAGTTACAGCATTCTTGATTTTAGATTATTTGTGAATATCCCCAATTTCAAATCAAGGTCTCTCCCCTGGATAGATTTGGACACACAATATGTTTTCACACAAGTAAAAGATATTGTATCTGCTACGTTATATATATATATATCGTCGAGCAAAGAGATACCATAATTCCTTCACATGCATACATACATTAAGTAATAGAAGAAATTTTGCTCAAAAATACCATAAATAATTGCTGGAAATTTAAAACATGCCTGTATGGATGATAATCTATACTATCAAAACAAGTCTAACCTACCAGCAGCTAACAAACAGATAAGAAAACCTCTCTCTCTCTCTCTCTCTCTCTCTCTCTCTCTCTCTCTCTCTCTCTCTCTCATATATATATATATATATATATATATATATATATATATATATATATATATATATAATTTTCTAAAATTCTCATAATTTCCCATGACCATAAAGTCACGAAAACAATAGGCATATATATATAGTTTCTAATCATTAAGAAACTATGATAATTAATATATATATATATATATATATATATATATATATAATTGCAATATAAATACTTAAATTATATTATTTTAAATCTTAATTTCTTGTTAAATTATGATTACATTGTTTATATAAGGTTGAGAACTTCCAATAATGACATTTATCGAATAACGGACTTTATTTAATTGGATACCTTTTGAACGAGTAAGGGTAAATGTTTTAAGTATAGTTCTTAAGATTGGACTGGGTGATAGTAAACATATGAATCTAGGGTTCAAAAGTTCAAATGGGTTTCAATCGAGAATAAAATCAAAGTTGAACAACTTTTAATAAAATAATATATTTTAATAATATAATAATATATTAAACTTAAAATAAGTTTATCAATACAGATAAATCACTCAAAAAAGTACATAGTTATTATAGTAAAAAGTCTAAAAAGTAATAATCCAATTTCTAGATCTAGTAATCATTAAGAGTGTTTGCATCAAAATCAAATGTATTAACATCTTTATTGTAGAAGAATATTTAACAAATCAAACATGTTCAATGTAACAAAAACAAGTTCAAGTGTAAAACATTCTTCTTCATTATTTTGTGATGGCTCAACAATTGGATAGAATGATATAGATCGGAAATCCATTGAAATGATACATATCATTTTCAAGTTCATCTATATCAAGCTCACCATGCACTTCTTCCTCAGCAACCCAAAATTCAACTTGATCAATATATTCATAATGAAACACGGAAGATTCAATATTTTTCATCACCTATAAATAAGTAAGAAAGTTATATACAACTCCAAAAATAAGAATATTTAATAAACCAAACATGTTCCATGTAACAAAAGCAAGTTCAAGTGTAAAACATTCATCTTCATTATTTTATGATGGCTCAACAATTGGAAATCCACTGGAATGATACAAATCAGAAATCCATTGAAATGATACAAATCATTTTCAAGTTCATCTATATCAAGCTCACCATGCACTTCTTCCTTAGCAACCCAAAATTCAACTTGATCAATACATTCATAATCAATAAGATCATAAGATGGCTTCTTGTGATACCTAAAAATAAAATCAAACATTACAATAATAACATAAACTAGATCATTCAATCTCTAGTGCTCTAGTCTATTTCTTCTTTTGGTATGAATTTGTTCAAAAATACTCTAATTTCTCTCACATGCAAACAAAGAAGAAGTTTGATCGAGAATATTGCCAAATTTTGCAAAATTGGTGTACTATTCCCAAACAATGACCACCATTGATATATAAAAAGTATATTTACTTAGTTTTACAATCAATCAATAATCATGAAACACAACATATATAAAATCTAAATCAATATAAAATAAATTTTATCTCACCGACACTGATCGACTTTGATACATTAAGAGCACTTGGTCGACCAAAACTTTCTCGACGATTCTAATACATATCCATCTCAATAATGGCTTGATTAAGATCTTTGCAAAAAGCTTGTTTCTCGAGTAAGGTAATAATCGATTCCATGACTCTGTTCTTTTTTTACAAAAGCCTCATCATATCAAAATGCAGGGTTGAACCAAGTTGTTGCATACATATTGAGTTTCAAATGTTTATCTCAACGAGCCTTAATAACATTTGTGTAACATTGATAAAGATATTTTAAGCTTAAACATCTCCTTGATGACATTTTTCGCCCTTTGCATACCTTCATACACATAGCCAAGAGAAGGTTTTTCCTCCCCATCTACAATTCTTAATCAACAAATGATAGGACCCACAACCTTTACAATCTTAAAACATTCTATCCAAAACTTTTGATCTAAAATAATACCACTAACCATTTTTTCTATTGTAGTTTTTGAAAACTTGTGTTCAGTGAAATGTTTGTCAACAATTAAGGTTTGCAAGTCATTCTTATGATCATAAATACTCTTTAATGTAATGAACGTAGTTGCAAATAGGCATGACAACGAGGCGAGACGGGGACGGGTTTTGCCTCCCCCACTCCTGACCTTGACTTTTTTAACCGTCCCCGCTCCCGCTCTTGACCCTCGTTGGGGTTAGAAATTAAGTCCTCATTCTCGTCCCCATCAGGTTTCATATTTCCTCGCCCTGTTACCGCCTCGTCCCTGATCTACATTGTTTCGATGGGGTTTCATATTTCCCGCCCGATTACCGCCTCGTCCCTGATCTACATTGTTTCTAAAAAAATAATTATACTTATAATAAATTAATTTTAATATTTTTATGTATTTTTTATACAAATAAATATTTATAATTTTATAATTTGTAATTATTATTAATTAAATATATATTTTAATTTATTATATTTATATTAAAATATGTATGTAAAAGAAACATTTGATCATTTTTTTCTTTATATATATATATATAATACTTATAAGATTTTATTATTATTATTATTATTATTATTATTATTATTATTATTATTATTATTATATTCTATTCAAACATTTGATTACATATATAAGTTAATTTTTTTAAGTTTTCATTTAAAAATATGAAATATATAGTTTATAAAAAAATATTTAATAAGTTAATTCTTATTTAATTAGTTCAACGTAATAAAAGTTCAAATTATCAATTCTTTTTAATCTTTTTAAATACAATTATTTTGTTAAGATAAATTTTGATATATGACAATTAAGAATAATAAGATCCAAAAATTATGACATAATCAAACCTAATAAAGATCATTTATAAATAAAATAATATTAGTTACTACTAAGAATTATATAAAATATTTTAAAAAATATAAAGAAGAAAAAAATTAACTTTGTATTCGTCAAATTGGTTGAAAAGATTGAAAAATTAAATTGATTGGAGAGATTAAAAAATGTGAAAAAGTGAAAGGTAAGAGAAAGAGAATAATGTAATAAACTAATTGATATAAAAGATTAAGAAAGATAAAAGAATTTTAAAATTTAATTTAAATATAAAGTTGGGACGGGGTGGGGGTTGCAGTACCCATCCCTGCCCTCGCCCCTCCCCTATTCCACTCGATTTTTTCCGTCAAACTCGGAGTGAGGACGGATCGATCCTGCAAGTACATGTTTAATTGTCATTCCTAGTTAAAAACCTAGTCATCCCTGAATAGAGAATTTCTTTCCACCCTTCTTGATGGAAATATTCTTTGTCATCGCCATCAAAAGAGGCGGTCGGAGCGACGCGATGATTTTGATTAACTCGCATTTTTTAAAGAAGATGTTCAACGCCTTTAGGTTGTCCGATAATGCAGGCTGGACCTAATGACGAGGTTTTCGTAAAAGGTTCTATGAAGTCGCCACTGATCTTTTTACCATAAACATCGAAAAAAGGAAGAAAAAGTGTTGGTTTTAGAAAACCAACTTTGGTCTTTACAATCAAAGTTGGGTAAGGGAATTAGTTACGTGTGGGGACACTACAAGAAAATCGCGTATTTTTGACGGATTTTTACCGACGGATTTGTAGCCGTCGGAAAATAATCATTACTGATGGAAATTACAGACGAATATAAAATATTTGTAGAATTTGATGTTACAGACGGATATATCCGTCGGTAAAATAATAATTAGTTACCGACGGATATATCCGTCGATAAATCCGTCTGTAATTTATAGATGAATTTACCAGATGAATATATCCATCGATAAATTAACAATTAATTACCGATGAATATATCCGTTCGGTAAATTCATCTGTAAATTAACAATTATTTACAGACGGATATTTTCGATCAGTAAATTAACAATTAGTTATCGACGGATATATCCGGTCGGTAAAATTATATAATAATTACTTAATATATTTTAATAATTTATTTATTCACCTAATTAAAAAATAAAATATTTTTTATTTAATAATTTAATTTAATCATAATTAGATTAATTTATAATAATTTATTAAATTAAATAATTTTAAAAAATAAATATTTAATTATATATAAATATATAAAAATATATAAATATATAAATATATATAAAAATATATATAAAAATATATATAAAAATATATATAAAAATATAAATATATATAAATATATATAAATATATTTGTATATTTGTATATTTGTATAGAAAGCCCTCCTATCCTTACATGGAGCCTAGTGAACATGCCTAGGGGCCTAAAGAAGCCTTGTCCATCTTCGAATGGAGGTTTTCCGGCTTTTATTGAGAAGCCGGGCAAGATTTGGGGTCTAGAGCTGCCCCCCCTTCACCCGACCAATTAACTATGGGCTAATGTACCATGAAATCGATTGGCGGGTGAAGGAGTTAACCCTCTTGCCGGTTGTCCTTCGGATGCTCCTCTTGACGTGGTAGCTGACCCTCGGGACCATGAGTGTAGTCTGGTGTTGTCTTCAAGATGCTTCCTTGTTGTGGAGGCTGACTCTTCGGACGATACTTGTGAAGCTTCAGGATGCTCCTTTGATGCGGTAGGCTGACCCTTTGGTCGATGTAAGTGCATGTAGATTTTTTAGTTCAAGATACTTCCATGCTGCGGAAGCTGACCCTTTAGATGGTAAAAGTGGACTGTCTTCGGATACCCCTTTGCAACGAGGCTGATCCTTCGGACGATGTTCATCCTGCCTTCGAGATACTCCTTTGCAACGAAGCTGATCCTTTAGGCGATGATGGTAGATTGTGTCTTCCGGATACTCCTTTGCAATGGAGTTGATCCTTCAGACAATGAAGGTGGGTTATGTCTTCTGGATACCCCTTTGCAATGGGGCTGATCCTTCGGACGATGTAAATCCTGCCTTCGAGATACTCCTTTGCAACGGAGCTGATCCTTTGGGCGACGACGATTGATTGTGTCTTCCGGATACTCCTTTGTTACGGAGTTGATCCTTCGGACTATGTGTGGAACTCTATCTTTTGGATGCCCCTTTACTGTGGTGACTGATCCTTTTGATAGAGAAAGTGGTGGCGGCTTCTTGCTCTAGCTTATGCGTCCATGGGGAGTGATTTTCATTCGAAAAATGCTTTTTGGCTTTTTTACGTAGCCATCCGACTCTATTTGTCGGGGATTCTTGACGAATGCCTCTTAAGCAGGCAGGAATCCACTGGGGGATTTGTTGATTTTAAGTGGTGCCTCTGAGTAGGCAGATTCTTCCTCGGAAGTGAAGACTTTTGGCTTGTATTGTTTTGCCTCTGAGTAGGCTGATATTCCCTTTGGGGATGTTAGCTCTTTGATTGCCAGGTTTTGCCTATGCGTAGGCGAACGACTCGCTGATGATAAGTCTTTGAAGATCTGCCTTGGCGATAGGCTCGCTGGGGATAGGTTCCTCTTTTTTAGCGATCCGTTGGGGAATTTGTGCTTCCCTGGGGATCTAATTTCGGTAGCCCTCCGGGGAGGGAACGAAGTCTTGCCTCCTGGATTATGTCGGTGATGGGCTTTTACACGGCCCTTATTCTCCCTTGGTGGGTGTGATGGAGAATGGATTGAGTATGCTTGATGACTCGTTATGGTGATGATGCTTGAGTCGTGCAGGGATGTTTTTTCTTGTCTCTTGGAGTAGTTAATGATTCGCTTGGGGATTTGAGCCTTTCAGTCAACTTTGTTTGGGTTGTAAATAATGCCTTCTCTTTATTTGGCGGAAGGATGGTGGTTGGAGCTTTTGATTCTGGACGCTCTTATTTTGCTTGGAGTTGCTTTATTGATGGTGACAACTTGCTCTATTTTCTTGAGGGAGAGCCTTATTCGGAGACTATGTTCGGGTGCTTCCTGTTTTTCAATCACGAGACATGGAGCTAGCCTCCTTATGCATGATTAAAAAGTTTAATTTTCATGATTTAACAAAGTCTTTTTGTGCGAATATTTGTGTGTGAATGCTTTAAATGAAGTCCATTTTCTTATTTGATGCATCTAGAGAAGTGGTTGTGTTTCCCGTTGGTTGCTGGATGCTGACGGGTTCTCTTTCTTATTTGTGTATTTTTTTGTTTGTAGACCCCAAATCTTGTCCGACCTCAAAATAAAGAGCAAAAGACTTCCGTTCGAAGATGGGCAAGGCCTAAAAGGTCCCTAGGATTGATCAATATACCCCATATTAGAATATGAAGGATTTTTGTACATGAAAAATAAGAAATTTTACCCAAAGGGTCGAGACCGCCGTCTCGCCGTTGGCTAAGGACGAGACCCCCGTCTCGTTTGGCGAGAACGCCGTCTCGCCACTTGCCAAAGACAAGACCGTCGTCTCATTTGGCGAGACCGCCATCTCATTTGGCAAGACTACCGTCTCGTTTGGAGAGATCGCCGTCTCGCACTTGCCGAAGGCGAGACCGCCGTCTCAATTGGCAAGACGGTGGTCCCGACCTTGTCATGCGAGACGGCGGTCCCGACCTGACAGGTGCGAATTCCTATAAAAGGGGGGACTTCCTCACTCTTTACACACACTTCTACAATTTTCCCTACTGTACTATTCTCATAATACTCTCCTAGGACCCCTCTAAAGTATTTCCAGAGTTCTTAGAGTTCTTAGAAAATGTTCTAAAGTGTTGCGAGGAAGAGTGAACATTATTGTAGAGCGTGGGGTTTGCCAAAAAGCACCCTCTTTCAAGAACATATTATAAAAGCTTGCTTCGAATGTTCCTCCACACTCCTTTCTCTATTTATTGTTTTTTTAGATAATATCGTTGTGCATTAGTCATTTAGGGCCATGTAGTCGATAACTTAATTTTTGCAAATGAATAAATAAGGGTAAAAGCGTAGTTTAAAGTTCTTATTTCTTTACAAAAACGGTCCATC